AAACGACGCACAATAGCCTGCAGTATGGCGGTGTCGTTGTTATAGAGAGAGCAGTTCACACGCACCACCAACAAGCGGCGCAGCTGCTGCTGCTGCTGCTGCTGCTGCTGCTGCTGCTGCTGCTGCACCTGCTGCTGCACGAAACGCAACGCACACTCAACTGCTGTCGTAGCGCCAGAGCCACGGGGCCCCATCAGCAGCACGCTGCTCTTCTCCTTCAGCAGCAAGCAGCACATAAGTTTTGCTGCGAGGGCCCCAGCTACAGCCTCAACAGAGGCGTTGCTGATGCTCCTGCTGCTGCTGCTGCTGTCGCTGCTGCTGCTGCTGCTGCTGCTCGTGTTACGCGCGCGGAAAGAAGCAGCAGCAGAACTCTCATTCCTCAGCAACGACTCAACTGCTGGTGAGGGTTTGAACCCGCTTGGCTGCTTGGGGGGCCCCTTGGGGGCCCCCATAGATATGGTATGCAGCTCCCCCCTCAACGCAGCTCGCAGCCGCTGCCGCAGCACGTGCTGCAGCAGCGGCAGCAGATACTGCCCTGAAGAAAACCTCTGCTGCAGCATCTGAGAAAAGGGAGGGGGGGCCTCGGCATCATCGGGGGGCCCCCTAGCAGCAGCAGCAGCAGCAGCAGCAGCAGAAGTGCTCTCTGTACACTCGTTGCTAGACCCTAGGGGGCCCCCAGTAGACCCCTGAGGCTCCTCAATAGGGGCTGGGGCCCCCTCAGCAGGACAGGGGGGGGCCCCGGCAGGGTCTGGGGGCCCCTGGTTGCTGCGGCGACGCTTTGGGGAACCTTCGGGAGAGGGTGAGGGGGCCCTGAGCCGCTTGGAGGCTGGGGGCCCCTGCATGGTGGTGTGCAGCAGCAGAGAGGGGGGGGGNGGGGGGGGGGGGGCAGCTGGCTGCAGCAGGGGGCCAGAGCGGGGGGAGAAAGAGAGAAATAAATGGAGTGTACAGACACCACGTCCAGTAAAAATAAATTAAACAGAAAAATAAACAAAAAAAAACAACACACAGAACACACAGGCGAGAGAAAGGGGGCCCCAGTGATGGGGGGATGGTGGGGTGGTGAGGGGGGGCCCCAGAGGAGAAAGAAGGAGGGAAAGGAGATATAATAAAAGAAAAACAAATAAAAAACCAAAATTAAATTATTTATTTCAGAGAAAAAATAATATTTAGAATATATTTTTATTTATATTCGCCGCTTTATCTCATCGCTGCTGCAGCGTCGGCAGCAGGGGGGGCCCCCCGGTGGGGTGGGGGGCCCCCAAGACCTACCTGAACCCTAAAAAAAAAAAAAAAAATAAAAGTATAAAAAATATTTATTATTATATATTATATGATAATACATTTATTTATTTATACACAGATAAATAGATAAACAAATATTATTTCTTTATATAAATACATATTCTTTTACTTCTTATATTATGCAGCCTTAGAGTCAGAGAAAAAAAAAAAAACATACAGTGGCAGTAGAAGCTGCAGTTATATATTACAGAGAAATTCTCTGTAATATTTTTTTTTTTATATTACAAACTTTGCTGCTGTGCCTGCAGCGGGGGAGAGGCGAGGGGGATGATGCAGAGCAGTATCCATACACCCTAAACCCTAAAAACCTAAACCTTAATTCCTCAAACATAAACCCTAATTCCTAAACCCTAAACCCTCAAATCTCCTGAAAGTGTTACAGTGTTCCTCAAACCCTCGTGAGCTGCAACAGACTCAAAATAATTAAAACAACAATTCAGCAACAGCAACTGAGAGCCCCCGATTCTCCTACACCTACTCTGCAGGCATCCTAGGCTTAGTGATGCAAGGCCCCTGGGCGGGCCGGGAGAGAAGGGGCTTTCTCTTCAGCTGCAGCACGCATGCAATTCACTCCCGGGTGCAGGCGCACCCGATCCCCCTTTCTGCATCCACTAAGACTGCAGGCAATCGGTAGCACCCAGTAGCTAATATGAGAAATGAGGCTGTGATGAAACAGATGCAGCATAGCCTTTCTGACGTTGATACATTCAACTTAGTTTCCCGCTCTCTTGCAAACGACGCACGAATGCATGTGTTTGGCCGCCCGAGAAGGAGTGAGTAGAGGTACCAGACTCCAGGAGAAGGCGGGAGAGTTCAGAAACCTCAAACGGGAAAAACATAAAAACACTAAAAGAAACAGAACCACCAGCATCTGCAGATGCATCTTATTTGTGTTGCAGTTCCCCCTGACCCGGTGACGCTGCGAGAAACGGGGCCCCCCCGTCGCCCCTCTGGCGCTCTCTCCCGCCCGCCCGAGTAAGCAGCCCTTTTCCTACGCCGACGTTGAAATTCAAATGAGGCGGCTGCGTAGAGCCGCCGCCAAAGCAAAATATTATACTCGATGCAGACAGGCAGGTGTCCATACAGCGTAGTAGGGGACTCAGCAAAAAAACATGAAAGAGATGAAAGTGTTCTCATTGGCAGTGACGGAGTAACTCCCGGGCTCATCTCGCTGCGTTGAGATACATTCTCTCGATTTCGCCCCAGTGCGGGTACTTAACCACCTGATGGATCTCGCCTCCATCCACCATTTTGGTGAATATCCGCACCTTGAACGAAGGAATTTGAGCCCCTATGCATGCGTATAAACGCGGCAAGAAGCAACAGAAAGCCGTAATATTACGATAGATGGCCAGGCAACAGGCGCCTCTGGTGGGCTATGAGGACTGACCGCGCGAAGCGACACCTCCGGAAGGACTGCGAGCACTCGTTGACTCAGCAATGTCGACTACATCTTTTCCCCTGTCCTACTAGGCGTAACAAAGCTGTGGCGCTTACACCCCTGTTGAGTATTTGTTCTGTCACCGCCGTTGTCTCGTGGGTAGAGCGGACCCCTTTCTTGAATCAACGTGCTCTCCGAGGCTACGGGCTCTCCCCCTGCGGGTTGCTTGCGCCCCTTCGTCTACCTATGGCTAGATCAGGTCCTCGCCGCCGTGACGCTCTTTTTTCATATTTCAGGGGTGGCTCCCCGGCTTTGGAGTATAGCGACGCTGGAGCCTCGGTGGATGTTGGGTGCCAGCTGGGGCTCACCGCAACACCTTCGTTCGGTTGGAATTTCCCGATATAAAAGCTACTCTCTATTATAGACAAGAGAAAGATAGTGTTGTGCATGCAGCCATCATCCATCTCAGTAAGCCGCCCTGTATAGGGGTGGTGTTGGTAGGAGCCAGCAGCAGCCACACGCAGCAGCATCAGCTGATGCCGCTTTCTCTTTCAGATGTTTTTGGCTCTTTCGCCTACCAAAACCTCTCCCATATCCTTGTGTGCTCCCATCCCCCGCGGGGCAGCCACAGGTGTACGCCAGAGCGCCCCCTGCGTGGACGACGTGGGCGGGGCTGAAGTATCACGGCCTCTCTGATGTTGGTGCGTGTACTTCCCCTTGCATGCGGGGTAGATGTCTACAGTACGAGCGCATGCAAAAACGAGGATTTGTTCGTGCATGCTAGAAGGTATCTCTTGCAGCAGGAGGTTAAGCGGGTTGCTCTGCAACTCAATACAGCCCCGCTTCTCCCCTGGCGTCCCCCCAGGTCTTTTGTGCTGGGGTGCCCAGGATGCCTGAGGACTGAAGGGGGTTTCATCAGCTGCTTTCTCTTGAACTTTTATTTTATTTTATTAAAAAAAATAAAATAAAAATTCATTGCCTCTACTGGACCTCACACGATCGTCTCCGAATGAAAACGAGTTCTTCTCTTATGCTCGTGCTGCTCTCCTCAGGACGCCTGGGGACTGCAGGCAAAGCTGGTGGGGAGTCATCGGCGGTTTGTCTTTGACTTTGTATTTTAGTCGTTTGAGGGTTTAGGGTTTAGGGTTTAGGGTTTAGGGTTTCTTATGATCGGCCTCGATATCACTGCTAGGCTAGAACACCGCCGGACTGTGTAGAGTAAACTTCTGCTTCTCCTTGTATAATAATAAATGAAAAATAAATAAACAATACATAAACATAAAATAAATAAATAATAAATAAATAAAAGAGGAAATAATAAAGTAAAAGTAGTATACTCCCGTGTGTAGAGAAAGGGGTTGCTCGCCTGGGTAGGAGGATGAGGTGATGCGGTGTGTGTTGGAGAAAATATTTTATAATTTATATTTTAATAAATATTTTTTTAAAAAAAAAATAAATTAATAAATAGAATAAATAAATAAACCGAGGTCTGCTGAGGGATAGGATGTGTGCATGCAGCAGAGAGGATGGAGGGGGCTGTGTGGGGTTGTGTGTATTGTTTCTTTTTTCTGTTTTTGTTTTGTTTATATTTATTTGTTATTTTTATTAATTTAAGTTTTAATTAATTCAATAAACAACCAAACGCCCGCTAAGCCGCGGCGTTCTCCCTTTCTTGCAGTGTACATACACCCCAGGAGGCTCAACCAAGCCAGAAGTAAGCATGCAATCTTTTTTTTTAATTTTTTTTGTTTTTTATTTATTTTATTGTTTATATTTCAGTCTAGAAGGGCTAAACAAATCAACAGAGGAGGAGATGGTGTACATTCAACTCCATCTACAACAAAAGCTGTATCACCAAGACTTTATGCTTTTTTTCTCTTTTTTTTTTTTTTTTTAGGGTTTAGGGTTTAGGGTTTAGGGTTTAGCTCTGCAGTTGCAGCCATAAACCCTAAACCCTTGAAAGGTTTTTATTAGCTTTGTCTTTGTTTCGTTTGTTTTCTTTTTTTTCTATTTACCTCTATATCTCTCCTATCTTCGGTTTATTACTTTATTTACTCCGCCTCTGTTTTTCTTGTTTTCTTTTGCCTTTTGTTGGGAGCATGCAGAGCTGTTTGTCTTTACTTTTATTTTATTTTATTTTATTTTATTTTATTTTATTTTATTCTTTTCTCTTCGTTTGAATATCTGTAGTTGCTGTATCTTTTTTCCTTTTCTTTTGGCCTCGATTGAAATATATATATAAATATATATATATATATATCTATATATATATATATCTATATATATATATACAGCAGCGATATATATAAGTATATCTATATAGGTAGCTGCTGTGTGTTTGTTTCTCTTTTTTTCTTCTGTTTTTGGTTGAGGTTTTAGCTGTCTCTGTTTTGTTTCTTTTTTTTTATTTTTATTTCATTGCATCTATTTGCTTTTTCTGTATTTTGTTTGTTTTCTTTTTTTCTTTAGTTGCATGTGTATATTTATTTTGTTTTTTTTTTATTTTATCTCTTTGTTTCGTTTTATATTTTTTTCTGCTTCTTTTCTCCCTCTTTGTTTCTATTTTATTTTTTATTTTTATATATTTTTATTTTTATTTATTTTTATTTTATTTTTATTTTATTTTTATTTTATTTTTATTTTTATTTTATTTATTTACACAGGCAGATGGCGCCAAAAAAGAAAGAAGAAGTGGAGGAGAAGATTCTGCTCGGCAGGTAAATGTTTATATTTCTTTTTTTTTATTTTTTTTATTTTTTTTTATTTTTTGTTTTTTGTTTTATTCTTTTTGTTGTTGGTTTGTTATTGATTGCTTGTTTTGTGTTTTTATTCTCTTTGTGTTGTTTTTTGTTTTTTTTTTTTTTTGTTTCTGCATGTAGGTGTTTGTTCTTTTGTTGTTTTTGTTTTGTCTTGGTGTTTATTTGGTTTGTTTTGTTTTTGTTTATTGTTTGTTTTTTACTTTTGTTTTTTTGTTTTTTTTTTTGTTTTTTATTTTTTTGTTTTTTCATGTGTTGTTTTCTTCTTTCGTGCTATTGTTTGTTTTTCGTTTGTCTTTGTTTTGTTTTCTATTTGTTTTTTCTTGTCTATACATACATACATACATACATCTACATAAATATAAATATAAATATATATATATATATATATATATATATATAT